GTCGGGATGCAAGATGGGAGATGGCTCTAGCCTCTGAGGCGCACAAGGGTCACAACCTATCTAATCCCGATTTCAACCCAAGTTGTACAGATAGATCCTAAGGGCTTGTTCAATTGCATTTTTAAATTATAGTGACTTGAGTATAGATCTTGAGTTGAATTTGAGTTATAACTTGAGTTGAAGTTGTGAATTGAGTTTGTGTTTGGATGTACACATTTGAATTATAATTTGAATTGAGAATCTATTTGAGTTTGTGTTTGAGTGGGTCAAAACTTGAATTTGTATTTAGATAGTATTTTAATAAAAACTCAATGGTGATGAAAAAATTTAATAGGGTATATAGATGAAGTTTTATTCGTCTACTCGTCGTGAACGCATAGAAAAGAAAATCATCTCAATCAGAATTAAAACGAAAAAGTTATGATGTTTTTAAGAATTGAAAAAATATTGTTCATTAACTTAAGTTTGAGTTTAAGAACTTGAGTTGAAAGAGAAACTTGAACTCAAATTTTAGTCTCAAACTCAAGTTAAAACTCGAGTTCAAACTCAAATTTTACAAATGAACATGAACTTTAATAAAGTTGTAACTAGAGTTCAAATTTTTTTTTGAGTTTTGATCCAAAAGAACAAGCCCTAAGTATTTTATATCTTTGAAAACAGATAAAAAGGATTCAGGAATTACTAACCTTTTCCTTCCTTTTCTGTATCACGACCAACACGGATAGATGCTCCCCGGTTTGCGACACCCTGTTGATGATGTGAGGATGAGCGCCAAATATTTAATAATATACAGATATGTGTGTTCGTGAATATATATATATATATATATATATATATATTAATGTTTTTTTTAGTATGTTTTTCTCAGCAAAATATAGATTAAATCTCTCTCAAGGTAACGTCAGATACCCTTTAACATTTAGGTAAAGCCATTACTCTGTTGTTATTAAACTCAGAATTGAATAGGTAAAAAGTAGGTTGGGTTGTAAGTCAGAGAAAAAAAAAACAGAGAGAAAATGAATACGTTCCAGATTTACTTACCCAAGAGAAGGTGTGGATGTCAGCGGTCTCATGGCGACCGGTCAATCTCCTTTCATTGCCTTCTCCATAGGCAGCAATGTGCTCCTTGTGGCGCAAGCCCAATTTCTCGATCGCCTTTTTAATCACGTCAATCCCCCGATCAGATCTCATTGACTTGGTGCTGAGTGGAAAAACCAGCCCGAAAAAATGTCAGTTGTACTCATCATTTAAAAACATACGTTCATTTTCGAGCCAGGTAAGCCAACTACCTGTAGTTAGTGTGGGCACCGGCACCGTTCCAGTCTCCCTGGCAATTCAATGGGGGAATTGGGAATTGGTAAACATAGTGAAAAACTACAGATAGAAAAGTACTAAAACATACGAATTAATGTACAAGGAAATTAAGCAGACCTGAATTGGCTTTGGATCAAAGGAAAGAGCAACTCCTGCAATTTCTGTGATCCTCTGCAATATTTTTATGTTAAACATATGAAAAAACAAGCAAGCAATGGACTAAAAGAGAATATGTGAATACATTGTATGATCCAATTTGCCATGGGAAAAAACTAAGTGAATCAAAAACTCCAAATACATAATTTTCTGGTATTGCCAATATACCTCAAGAATGTAGCGAGCAACCCATAATTGATCCCCAGAACCAATGCCAACTGAAGGACCAACTTGAAACTCCCACTGTCACATAACAACACAGGAGAACCGGCGTTGAGTAAAATTAAAACTTATCGAAATTACAATATAGAAATGACAAAGAGGGACCAGTACCATTGTTCCTCTGTCCAACCATTTTAAGGGTAGAACATATGATAAAGCATGATGTCGAACACGGGTTTCTAATTTTTTATTTAATTTTCGGTTTTAATTATGCCCAACTCGCACTGTGCGGGTAGGGGCACGGGGTGGGGTTCCATGAACCCGAGATACCCCTACCCGGCCGAACATGTTCAAAAAGTAGGTAAAACAATGCCCAACCCTAATGATAATAAGTTTAAAAATCTTCTGAACACAACATAAAGGGTTGAGTCTTTAGATAATTCTTGTTCATGATGAGTGTAAAAATTGAGTCTTAGATGAGGTAAGTAACAAAAATAAGTTAAAAAAGGGTTTTTTTTACAAAAAAACTCATAGTTTACCATAGGTAACCCAGCCGACCCGAGGTACCCGAATGGTATACGGGTATCCTAATTCTACAAGTTGTTACGGCCCAAATCATTCCCAGCCCGAGACCTACAGGCCGGCCCAATTTTTTTTCAAAACCGACCCACCCCGGCCGACTTACAGGCCTAGGGACCAGTACCATTGTTCCTCTGTCCAACCATTTTAAGGGTAGAACATATGATAAAGCGTGATGTTCCAAAAATTTTTCTTTTTTGGCTACATTCCTCTGTCCAACCATTTTAAGGGTAGAACATATGATAAAGCATGATGTTCCAAATTTTTTTCTTTTTTGGCTACTTATAATAAGCAAATATAAGATCGCTGCACGTACCTGCCCGGGCATAACTTCACCATTGATTCCACTGATGTTGATTCCAGCATAGAGGCAAGCCTTGTAATGTGAGTTCACGATATCACGACCAAAGGCCTTATCTGCCCCTGCACCACAATAGTAAGGTCCCTACAGAAAAGGGGGATAAAACATCGTATCAGTTCGATTGCCAGGAATCAGGTCATAAGCTATTGCATCCCCAGTTAAATCCCTGCTTATAAGCGCTTGGGAAGAAGATTTCAAGAGTAAAATTGGGAGAATTCTCTGGTAGGGTATGGCAAAAAAACCAACCGGTAGGCACGATTTTCAACCAAAATTTTCATCCACTTTATTAAAATGTTACATTTTTCTTAATCTCATAATTCTAATGTGATTTGACGGCTGAGAACAGTTTCTTCCTGGTAGGATTTTTTTGTTTTTTTTCACCTACCATAGAATTCTCCAAAAAAGTAATGGTAATTGCAACAAAAACAATATAGTACCTGAGGACCAGGGAAGCCGCCAACTGGCCACCCAAGTGGCCAGTTGACGTCCTTTTGAAGAAGAGTGTATTCTTGTTCAATGCCATACCTAACAGAAGATTGTAAATAAAGTTTATGATAAAGTAATGGAAAAACCGGATGAAAAAAAGAAAAGAGAAGACATGAGACAAGATTGAAGCGTCCTTTTCTCAGACCTAACAGAAGATTGTAAATAAAGTTTATGATAAAGTAATGGAAAAACCAGATGAAAAAAAGAAAAGAGAAGACATTGAGACAAGATTGAAGCGTCCTTTTCTCAAAAGTAGTATTTTGGAAAAATAAACAATACATTAAATAAGCTTTGAAATTGCTATCTCAAAATTAGCACTACAACGTGGGCTGGAATCTAATAAAAGATATGCCATCTTGTACTATTAAATTCATAAGATTCAGCTGACAATAATACACACTTGTATTATAGTGATTATTTCAGGTCCATATTATTTTTAAATCTAATGATGTATCTAAGTGATGTACATATTAAGAGTCAGAGAATATAAAAAATTATATATCTTTATCATTCCAAGAAGTAAGAGAGTAAGACCAAAGCTAGATGAGACAAACACAAATGAAACTACACAAAACAAGAGCTTCATATTATATTATTCTTGTGCACGGGCCGGATCAATAATTGTTTGCATTCACATTAACAAATCAAGAAAAGAAAAAGGAAAAGACAATTTGTAACAACAATGTTTTCACCATGTACGCAAGTCTTTGTAGCTATAGAATATCACATGCACAAGTCATGTTTTTTTTTCCTCGTGATAATAACAAGGAATTCATGACACAATAGATATTTTCGGTGAAAATATTAAAGGGTGTTTGTATTACAACTTAAATTAAGAACTTGAGTTGTGTTTGTGAGAGAAAAATACCGTAGCAAAAAAGTGAAATTTGAATTTTTGTGAGAGAAAACACTGTAGCAATAGAACTTGAGTTGTGAAAAGAACAGGGCTTTAGTTTCTTCAAAACGTAATAGAATAAGAATAGCATGACTATCGCCATAAGTACGTCTATGGTCAATGAAGTACATAGAGGGTAGCCTTGTGACTAGTTTGAGTCTACCAACCCAAAACTGTTGGTTTCTTTTCAAAGGGCCACCACTCATTGACACGCTTAACCACATCCTAAAAATAATCCAATTTTAGTTATGAGGATAACTGTTTGTGTAAAAAACAAAAAGAAAAAAAAAAACACAAGAAAAGTTTATCATATTTTACTTAAGTTTTAAACAAATGTAAAATATTCAGTGAGAATTAAAAGATTCCATTCTAAATAATCAAGATTTTATAATATGGAAGAACCCGATGATGCTCTTATATTTGGCAGCTGGCATTGCATGCACTAGAAAGATAAGCTCTTTGATACACCTCATAACCATTATAAAGGCCACCAACCCCAAAAATAATTTTCAAACTATTGGGAGTAAATGATCATATAAATTAAAAAAGAGAAGAAGAGATAAATGTAGTGCATGAGTCTGGATTTTTACCCCTTACTCTTGATTAGCAACCTTTTTAGTGAAATAGTTATATTAGTCAAAACGGTATTAATCAAGAGTAAGAGGTAAAAATCTAGACCCACGCATTGTAAGAGTAAGTTCAACAATTTTTTCTAAAAAAAAAATAGAAGGGCAAAAGTAAATAGATTTCACGATCATCAATCACCATCACAAGTGGCCATGTCTATACGTCTCCCTAAAGCATCACATATAATTGGACAAACAACAGTTAAAGTCCAAGTCAAACATAATTAAATTGTATTCCACTTTTACCATCTCTAACTTTTAAAGTAAGTCTCCCACCAAAAAGAAGAGTCACATGATTAACGCCAACCCACCTAAACCATCCACCCACTTGGCAGATGGAGAGGAGATTCCTAACTACCAGAGTAGAAAAGAAAGAAAAAACACAAAAAAAACAAAAGGAAGTCTTTTTTTTCCTTATATCTTGAAATGACAATTTTATTTATTAATATATAGATGTTATCTGACCTTGGACAATGGTAGACCCCATGTTGAGGACAAAAGAAACACATATACTACTGTACATTAGTCACTATATATTTCATTTGTAGGCCCAATAAGTTAAGAAGATACCTTAAACAAATCAATAAATGGGAAAGCAAATGGAATCATGAAAATTAATTAATTAATCGAGATAATATTTAATCGATAAATTCATAATTTATTAATTTATAAATTAATTAAAAAAAATTAATTTATCAAGGTATTCTTTTTTTTTTTTCACAAAACATTGAATTTAATATTCTGTTTTGTGATTATATGAATATTACCTAATTACCGAATCAAGAATTATCATTGTTCTATGTATTTGTTTAACCAAAATATTGTTTAACCGAGATTATTAATTTAAAAATCTGTTAAATACCTTACTTTTGTAAAAACAAAAAAAAAATAAAAATAAAAAAATAATTAAAAAAAAGATGAGAAAATGATACTACCATGGCTCCTCGGCGATGACATCGGGATGACTAAATATCTTGGCAGCATTGTGTCGTTTGTTGGTAGGAATTGGTTCGCCTGCTGGTGTGTAAGCGTCGCACAACACCTATTTTTACATAATGACGAAATTACCCCTTGACTTTTTCTTTATTGTTTACTTATTTAATTTTTTCAATATTTACAAAATCAAAAAACTTCAAATAAGAGATAACCAAAAGATCGCCGTTAAAAAGGGAGAAAATCAAGTGTCAGAGATTGATTCTGATTCTTATTTACCAGGATGTTGTTGCCTCTCCTGAATGGATCCTTAAACACCGCTTGAGGACTTTGATCCAGTCAAAAACAACAAACAATAAGAAAAAATTAAAAAAAAAAATCGGACGGCATGCATTGTAAGTGACATGGGATGCAATTAAAACAGAGCCGTTGATCAGACAATACAATAGTGTGGTTTAGGCCCGTTTAGTTCACGCGTTCAAATTAATGATTCTGATTCATATTCAAACTTTTTGTGAGAGAATCATTAGTAGGAATTTTTTTATTCAAATTTTTAGAGAGAAAAACACCGTAACAAAATAGCATTTATTTTGTTTCAAAATCAGAATCATGAGTTTAAATACGTGTACCAAACGGGGCTTAGTGATACGTACTACAAGATGACTTCGCTGTCGTCTCCAGGGGCTTGATCGGTGCTTGAACCGTCATAGTTCCACTTGGGAAGCTTTGCTGGGTCTGTTACTGGTCCAGGCAGAGTCTGTAAAATCAATGGTTTTTGGGCTTGTTTGTAAGTGTCAAGAACTTTAATACCGAAAACGTTTAGGTCATGGATTCACAATTATGATTCAAAATCATTTTCAGTTTACGTATGTTTTTTATAAGAAAAAATACCGTAACGAATCATGATTTCATGATTCGAATCCACCAACCAAACAAAATATAAGTTTAATTTGGCTGAAAATGTAAAAAAACTCAAACACCTAGATGGAACATAACCACACTTTAAAAATAAAAATAAAAAGATTTTTAGTTTGCCACTTTGTTAATCGGCAAAGAGTTGAATGCTTATATACGTAAATCATATATGTTACTAAAAGCTTTAAAGCTTAACATCCAGCACATGAAAAATTACACACAAAAACATGATCAAGGGATGATAAACAGCAATACCCAGATGGAAAAAACACAAATATATATAATATATATACATGTATACACACACACACACACACACGTAATAGTATAGATGAAAGGAAAAGGGGAATCACACCCTTGCTTTACTTCTGAGATCTAAGCCAGATCCGCCGATCCTGAAAAGGAAAAAGTAAAGCAAAAGAAATGGAGTAATTGAGCAAGCAAACAAGACAAAGCAAAAAAAAAACGACAAATACACGAGACCATAAAAGAGTAGTACCAAATGTACTCGGCGATGATCTTGTCAGTGGTGTCCGACAGGTTTAGGTTGAGGAGATCGGTGAGGAGAGACATGACTATTTGGCTACAGAGGAGACTGATTGAGCAGAGAGAGAGAGAGGGGGTTTGGTGGGTGTGCGTGTTGTTAGACTATGTTGAGTGTGTATATAACGGGGAAAAAGTCTTCGGGCTCACGATTAATTTTCCTATAAAAGTGCGGAGCAAATGGCGGAAATTTCAAAGTAAATACGTATAAAATATGTTATAACAGCTTGGACATAGGATTTTCGGAATCTCCCACGATCAAATCGAATTTTTTGTCTATTGTATTCCCTTTTTCTTAATTATTATGTGAATTATCTCTATACAGATCATTCACATAATTATAAAATAAAAAAATACTATCGAAACGAAATAATCTCCACAGATTCTCTCTATTTCTTTCTCTCAAATAAAAAAGAGTTGCATGTGTTTGTCGGAGCTCCGACACCACCTCTAGATGCGTCGTTGGGCTTTCAACATTTATATTTTTAGGGTCCGTTTAGTTCGCTGATTCGAGTTTTTAATTCGAGTTGAGATGTGATTTTATGTGAGAACTTTTTACTATAACACAAAAGTTAAATGTGACTGTTTCTGAGAGTTTTTTACTACAGCAAAACTCAAATCGGTGAAATGAACGAGACCTAAATCTTTTGACTTGTCTTTACATGGACTTTACGATGACATAGGTGGTGTTTGACATGAATGCTCTATTTGGGTGGATTTAAAATTGGCTAGAGCTTGGAATTCACACGGATATGATGCTTTTTACGACGTGTTCGTCTGTGGATGACTGAGATCTCTATTTTCTTCTTCAGGGTGGTGGACTTTTTGAGACGGTGGTGAACTTTTTGAAACAGTGGCGGCAGCTCTTTCTGTCAACATTTGATGGAGCTTTCCGAACAACGTTCGTTTAGAGGCGGTTTTCTAACTCAGTTACGCGATCTCGAAGCTGGTTGCCCTCCTTGACGGTTCCTATGCGGGCTACCTTTTCGCCGAAGGCTTTCAACGGCGGTGTCCAGAGATTTTCTCTTTGTTTTCTTGTTCTAGTTTGTGTGTAATAACGGCGGAGATACTCTCCGCCTAGATTTATTTTTCTACGGTTAGAGATCTTGTAACGTCCCCCAAAATTACTAAGCTTATAGCAGAAGACTTTTAATCTGATATAATAAATTTTTAGGTAACTTTGACGAGTGCTACTACTAAACTTAGTAAAAATACGTAGTAATAAATTTTTTTTTTTAATAAAGCCATATGCATGAAAATGAATTTTATTTTATTCCATTATCCATGATTAAGCATTCCAGTATGATAAAATTTTCCATTTGTCTTTTTGACTTCGACGTCGAGCACTTTTATATCTGTTGTCCTTCTACCCATCTACAACACATGTTAAATCTTGTTAGATAAACTCAGTAAGTAAAGATTATATTCACATGCATATGAATGTTTTTACTTGTTCTGAAAACTTGTAGTGGCTTGAAAGTTTTTCAGTCTGACCCTGAGGATTCCTAGTCTAATAGGTTCTAGTGGGATTCTCTCATCTTTAAGTGTTTATTTGTACACAAAAAATAGGTTCTGAATTCTAATTTTGCACTAGTAAAAAGGGTATGGGCCAGCGATAAACATACCACACCATTTTTAAAGAAAGATGAATACATGATTCAAAACTGTATATTCTTAAATCTTGGTAAAAAAAAAAAATGCTCAAACATTATGTAGTAACCGAAAACATTAAATTTGTGCATTTAAAACATGAATGTGCAGGCATGTGTTGTAGGTGAACGTTTACTTACGTGGTGTCATGCTATTTAGTAGTTTTAAATTCTTACAACTTATCTTCTACAATGTCTTATGTACTAAAATGTTATGACAAAATTACTTGGAGGAAATTTAATATTGCCTAACTTTTAGTAAAAACCCTTTATCTTATTGCTCATTGCATTTCTATTTAAAAATCCTTAACTTCATAATATTAATTCTAGTAGAATTTCTATTTAGAGAAGCTGAATTTATAATTATGATGTCACTAGAATAAATAGGTGATAAGACGATGGTTAAAAACTGTCATCAAAAGATACAACGATGGTTTAAAAACCGTCGTCGTATCTAGAGTCATTAACTGTCCAAGAGATACGATGACAGTTTTTAACCGTGTCTAATACACGTGTGAGACACCATAAGGGTTTAAAGAGGCACATTAGTCGATCGTTTTTTTTTTTTTTTCTGAAAAACCGTCGTCTAATATCAACTTTTAACGACGATTTTTGTAAAAACCGTAGTTAAAAGTATAAAAAAAAATTAAAATATATATATATATTTGGCGAAAACTAATTCTTTGCTAAAAAAAATTATTTCTTCGAATGTTATCACAAGTCATTGAACAACACACATGAAAAAAATTCAAAAAAACATGTTTTAAATTCACCTTCTCATACATAATCAATACACATGTAACACAAATATTTTAAAACTAAAAGTTTCTCCACGAAATCTAACAAGAAAAATACCTTACTATTTCAAAGAAAACTTTAAATAAAAAAAAACCTAATTTCAAAGAAAATAAATTTTTAAATATTAACAAAGTACCCATTTCGATGGTCATGGTGTAGTGGTGGATATGGAGGCAAGATCACGACGGCCGGCGACGTATGAGCATAATTGTGAGGCTCTTGGAGGCAGGGGCTAAGTTGAGGGAGTGATGAGTATGTATAGTAATGGGAGCGAGGAGTGTAGAAGAGATGAGATTTGAGAGAAAAAAAAAATTCAAGTGTTGAGAGGGAAGTTAGAGAGAGAGTTAGGGTGTGAGGAAGAGAGAGAGAGTTTTGGAGAGATTGAGAGATTTGAGATAACAAACTTAAGGGCCGTTTAGTTCGTTAATTCGAGTTAAGATATGATTTTATGTGAGAACTTTTTACTGTAACAAAAAAATTAAATGTGACTATTTTTTAGAGATTTTTACTGTAGCAAAACTCGAATCGGTGAAATGAACGGAGCATTAAAGTCTGTAAGAGAATACTCGAAGTTATAGATGAGTTATTAAAGCTTTAAAAATTTTCGGAAAAAAAAGATAATAAAAAAATGCATCTTTTTTTTTTTAGCAAAAAAGTTAGATGTGACTGTTTATGAGAACTTGTTACTGTAACAAAACTCAAATTCTAAACTCAAATTAGCGAAACGAACGAGACCAAAAGGAGGATAATAAAGAGATGGAGATAAAATAGAATATGAGATTATAATAATGAAATTATAACAATTTTCGATTTGCATATATTTTTTATGAGAGAAAACACTATAATAAATTATGAATCATGATTCGAATCAGGTACGAATTTCCTTACCAAAAAGTTGCACGAACAACACCAACAAGAAAAAGTATACTTGATGTTATCATCACTATGAGTAAAGTTCTCATATTATTGTCCATTTGACTGTTTATTTCCACGGCTATTCTTGTAGGCATTTTCTAGTTTATAAAGGAACCCAGCTTCTATTATGCATGGAATTTTAAAGGGAAAAAAAATATTGATGTTACTAATAAGAATGTATTTATAATTTATTTTAATCAGTGCATATTTAAATAAAGACTTTGAATTGTTGCGTGGTGTCTTTTCAGATGATATATCTGCCGTGTGTAAAATTATTCTTGTTTTTGTTTTTCATGTTTTTTGAGAAATAAAAAATAAAAATGATTCCAAAACGGTGTTTGACACAATTAAAGATAAAAAACATAAATGAAAATGACTGTTTAGTTTAGTATAAAATGAGAGAAAAATGAAAAATGATTTTTAGTCATTTTTCATTTTTTATTTTTGTTTTCTCCTCTATCGAGCAAAGAGATAGATATTAATAGATTTTTTTTATATTGAAAACAATCTCTTGATAAAACTACAAAACACATTTTCAAAAATGATTTATGTATGAGATTAAAAACGTTTTCATTTTTATTTTCATATAAAAAATAAAATAATTTTAAAACGAGTTCCAAACGCACCCTTAGTCATTTTTCATTTTTTATTTTTATTTTCTCCTCTCTTGAACAGTGAGAGAGAGAGAGATATTAATGAACTTTTTTATACTAAAAATACTATATTGATAAAATTACTAAATGTATTTTTAAAAATAATTTTTATCTAAAATTAAAAATATTTTTATTTTTATTTTTATTTAAAAAATAAAATTATTTTAAAATGAATTTCAAATAGGTCTATTGAGCCAGCTCCCGTCTAGTCCCAACCTCAACTAACATATTCGCGGCCGACTTAAACGCAAATTTACCACTGGATTCTTCCTCCATCAGAGTACACAAGTATTCATTCATAGTAATCATAGTAAGCATTCATATTTACGTTACAAAAGTACGTCCTAATTATTACAATGCTATTAATTTTTGTTACTGGTAAAAAATATTAAGGCATTTTTTTTCACAACTTAAATAACAATGTTTATTTACTATAATATTTTTTTTTCCATAAAAACTCAAATTTAATTTGTTTACTACATAGTTTTCTTTTATATAAAAAAGTTTGAGTCGTGACTTTCTGTAAATTTTTGTTTAAGAGCATTTTCTGGGAGCTCTCTAAATTTTAGTTAAATTCTAAATAAAATTATTAAGAAACTATTTTAACTTGTAATTTTTTAATGAGTCACTCCAACTATACTCTCTATTTTAATTAAACATAATTTATTTTAATATTTTTATGAGTTTAAAATATAAATAACTTTTTATTTTTATTTTTACTATGTCAAAAATAAGAATAAAATAATAAAAAAATAAATAGCTAGTCATTTCTTACTAGTTATATTTAATTAGCAGAAATTACTTTAATCTAAATAATTAGCTATTTAGTCAATAGGTAGAGTAAAAAAAGTTAAAAAAAATACTAAATCATTAGCTATATTTTAATTAAAAATATAAAATATTTAGCGTGTGTTTGGTTCAAAAATCTGTATCATAATTCAGATCATAATTCAAGACTTACTATAATATTTTTTTTTATAAAAAATATACGTAAATAAAAAATAATTCTCAATCTATCAATCCTATCAATCTTATAGTATAGTTGAAGTTGCTCTGAGATTTTATTGTGCGGAAAATTAGGCCTTGTTGTAGTGATTTAGAACCCAAGGGTCAGATGGGCGAGGGAGCCTCTGGGCTTTAGGCCCAATTTCTGAACTAAACCTACGGAAGCTTATTGGGTCGAACATAACAACTTTCTCAGCTCGAGTTCCCACAAACACACGAACAAGAACAACAGAAGTTACAAGTCCAAAAGCGCATCAAGAAAACCGCATCTCTTTATCTCGCTCCCGCTTCCGCCTTCTGCTACACCCTCGGAGCTTCTCTCTCTTCCCTCTTTTTACTCTCTCTCTCTCCTCTCTCTCTCTCTCTCTCTCTCTCTCTCTCTCTCTCTCTCTATCTCTCCTCTAATGACCGCGAACAAACCTAGAGTTTGACGCTGCCAATCAAACTAGGTTTGCTTTCTCTCTCTCTCTCTCTCTTTGCCAGGAGATTCCATCTGCAGTCTTTTTTTTTTTGGTTTTTTGAATTTTTTCTCATCTTATTTATCTCTTTCGTTTTTGGTTGCTGAGAAAGTTGCGAGCTGCAAAATTCAGAGATTTGGAATTCTTTTCTTTGCTTTTGAGTGTCGAGAAATTACGGCAAAATGTTCTTCTTGCAATATATTTCCTTTTGTTTTGTGTTTTTGGATCGAGGGATTCGGAGTTCGGGAGCAAATTAGGAGCAAAATTTAATCTTTTTTTTTTCAATGATAAGAGTGAAAAATTCAAGGATTGCCAAGCAAATATCACCTTGATTCTTAGAAAAAAAGGAGACTTCTTTGTGATTAATTTTGTGATTCCTTCTTAATCTGAACATGTTAGCTAAGATTTATTTTATCTTTTTGTAAAACTTGATAGCTTGTTTGTAATACATTAATGTGTACCATTGGAGACTAATGAAATCATGCTTTGCAGTACTGTGGGAATTGTGATTAGAAGTTGCAATGTATGCGAGGAGAATAAAGTGTAGAAATCAGTTATGGACAGCATTTCAGCCATCAAAATATTTAACAAGACTATACTACGTTGGTCGCGGATCTTTGATAAGAACAGTTTCAGGAAATAAATGTTCACATGATAGTTTCATAAGAAGGAATTTCTTATGTTCGTTTTCGTCAAAAAGTGTTGCCTCTGCCTATTGTCATACCCATTTGGATTTGAAGTCTAATAATACTTATTTAAAGGCTATTCAGTTACGTGCGTATAGTTCGGAAGGCGATGGAAGAAATGCCAGTGAGGATAAACGTGTACCTGTAAAAGATGAAGCTAACTTTGTTAAAGGAAAGAATTGGCAAGAAATGGCTGAGGAAGGTATCAGGAGCTGCGATGCCCATGCTCGGCTTGGAGAGCAAGATCAAAAAGAGTGGCTCATTAATGAGAAGCTCTCCATTGAAACTAGAAAAAAAGAGTCTCCTTTCTTGACTAGACGTGATAGGTTCAAGAATGAGTTCCTTAGAAGGATTGTTCCATGGGAGAAGATAACCGTTTCGTGGGAAACGTTTCCATACTACATTCAGTAATTACTAATCATTGATGTTTCTTTTTAGTCATTTTTTTTTTCACTTCTGTAATTTATGACCAAGTATCGTAACTTAATTTTTTCTTGGTAGTGAACATACAAAAAATCTTTTGGTGGAATGTGCTGCTTCCCATTTGAAACACAAAAGAGTCGCTACTTCTTATGGTGCTCATTTGACATCTTCAAGTGGGAGGATTCTTCTCCAGAGTGCACCAGGTTGGTGTTGATCCGACTACTTAATCATCATCTACCATTGTATTTTTATGGTTCCTGCAATGACACTATTTTATTTGTTAATTGGCATTAAAACACGACCTGCAGGTACTGAGCTTTACCGTGAGAGATTAGTTAGAGCTCTTGCACGCGATTTACAAGTCCCTCTTCTTGTTCTGGACAGCAGTGTTCTGGCGCCTTACGTAAGATTACTGCACTCTGAATATTTTGGCTTGTTTAAAAGATTTTTTTTCTTTTTGTGTTGAGCAAAAGTAAAGTAGTTGACCAAAGTTACTATTGGGATAGGATTTTGGTGACGATTGCCAATCAGAGAATGAATCCGATGATGATAATGCATTACTCGGGGAGGACGATTTGGAATCAGAGGCGGAGGATGATAATGATGCTAGTAATGAAGAGGAATGGACTAGCAGTAATGAGGCAAGGTCGGATTGTACCGATAATGACGAAGTGGAGGTGAAGGAATCTGCTGTAGAAGCCTTTAGGAAGCTTATTAATCCCCACAGTGTTGAAGAATTTGAAAGGGTACGCTTACTTACCTCCATTGGGTTTTCGCTTTTGTTTCTCCCTGAGCAGACTACTGGTTTGATTGATCTAATGGTTTGAATGTTAGGCCTATAGTATCACTGAAGTATCACGTTTATGTGGAAGATGAAATTATATATATCCGATTGACCTCATAGCACATCAACTTTGACCAAAATAGTCTAGTACATTTTGAAGTCTTTCCTACTCTATACAAATAACTGAGCCAAAGATTTCCCAGCCAATTGGCTTTATAATATTCAACTCGTAATTTAGAAGATGATACTAAACAAAAAGTTAAAAAAAGTGAAACCATCATGAAATGAATAACATAACAAAGAATTGATGGTTTCTGATAAATAATCCAATAAACAAGCTACATTATGCTATCATACTTTGCTTTCTTTAGTTTATAATGGGTCATCAAGGAGAAAACTTCTCAAACATAAGACTAAGTTAAAAATGGAACACTTTTGTGTGACAGAGAGTCTCTGGAGAGTCTGACAACTCATCTTCGTCCTCAAATGTTGAGGCTGCTGAGTCTTCTACACAGCCGCTGAAGAGAGGTGAAGCTTAGAGGTTTTTTTGGGTATTCCTGATTATCCTTCTTCTTTATCAGCGATCATTTTGTCACTAATCCTTTTGTTCTTGTATTTTCCAGGTGATCGGGTGAAATATATTGGGCCGTCTGTTAATATTGAAGCGGATAAGAGGTAGTACCTCAATCCTTGTTTGTATCTCCAATTTGTTATTATGAGACGATGTGTTCATTTGGATTTTGTTGTTCCGTTTTTCTTATTTTTCTGACAGTATTCTTTCTTACTTTGTGAGGACCTCCTGTCCACGCTCTCTTTTTAACTGTTTTTGTCAATGAAAGGTCGCTTCTTATTAAAAACAATCTAATGATTTATCGAGAGGAAATAAGTTCATTATCTGATGATTTGGTTTTACTTAAGATTGAACATGCCATAGATTTTGCTATTAGAAATCAGGAAAGTAGAGCTATTGTAAGATGGATAGCTCAAATCGCTCTAACTTTTATTTTATTATGTTTTAAATAAGAAATAGAACTTCTATGTCTATTAATCAGAGATATGAAGTCCTGACTAAACTAATAGGCAAATAGTACGAGGTTTAGAATTCTTCAAATAGGCAGAGTTGTCCACTTCTGCTATGGGCAGATGGCCTCTTAGGTACTGTGGCCTAATCTTTTTCTTCCCTTTCTCCATCTCGACCTATCTCTTTTATCCCTTATTTTTTGAGTGAGCATAAGTTTCGCATTGGATTCACTTAACCCTTCTAGAAAGCGTGGTATTTATGGTTATTTACCAGGTAAAGTTTCCTGTGGTTACACTTTACAAAACAAGCGATAAATCTCCCCCTTTCTATGAAATTTTCCTAATGTAGGTGAATTTGAGAGGAATTTATTTCTTATGTTGAGGCTTTGCCAACTCAAATACCTGGATCCTAAGTTTTGCGCTAGGTAAATGTTCTTGAGGAATTAGTCCTAGATCACTTGGGAGCAATTATTGGTCTGACTGCGTAGTTCACTCCTTAGTATTGGAAGTGAAAACATCTTGATCTTGATTCTTATGTTGCAGCTTGGGGATCTTTCGGGAATGCTTCAAATACATTTTCCAAGCATTCTCTAAGCTTTCAGTTAATCTCAGTCTCAGTCCAAAGGTTAATAGTAGGGATATATTCTAGTTGTGGGGATGCACCTTCAGGATGGGCACATGTTTTCGGCTTTTTATCAGTGTCAACATTTGCATCAAAAGATTATAAGGATATCAGCTTTTTATGATTTTATGGACTGAAAAACATTCTGTAAGTTGGAAATATTTGAGGGTTGTTTCTGGCTGGTTGGTGAGCCTTTGCTCTTCCCAGTGACGTTCTACCTTTTTTCCTTTCTCTTCTTATAAAATTTTAACTTTTCGTAAGTATAAGAGGTTCATATATATTTATTTACTTTTTGGTGGTTCACTGTAACCACGTCCTTTTGCATGTTGCTGTTTCTATTATGTGTTAGATTCAGTTTTATCTGGAATGAAGTTGAAGAGTTCCATAGATGACTTGTTTCTCTATATTTGTTCATCTCATTTGTGTTGCAAAACATCGTTTTTTATTCCTCCCAGTTATATTCAGAATCCTAATTAGCAAAACTGTTATGCGGGTCTGTACTCGGTGTTATGTTATTTTCATGCCTTTGTCGCTTTATATTGACATGTTCACTGATTTTCCACATGATTAAAGCATCCATGACGTAGTATGTCTCTTAGAGCGTTGGAGCTTTTTGTAAATGTAACTTATTGCTGTTGATTCCCTGATCTAGTCTTGCTGCATAATGCATATAGGTGTCGGCAAATACCTGTGTGCAATCCAAGCAGTAATACGAGGCAAATTATTATTATTATGTTTGCTTGAAGAATCGTTTGTCAATTTATTGGACATTTTTTGCCAATATACTTTTGATTCATTTTTATGTGCTGGTCATACCCAGATTATCTCTGGCTAGCTGAGCTGTTGTTGGTTTTTATTTTATTTTTTATTATTAATCAAATTTCATTTGTTTTTCTTCAAGAGTTATATATCATTCAAGTAAAACTTTTTTTTTTCTCCCAATTTCCAATGTCGAGATAGGGTTGGGCATACAAATGTTACTTGAAAAAAGATTAAACAGTGCACATTCTATTTTTCATGGTTTTGTTCTATGTTGATGACAATTTGTCCTATGTTTTTCGTTTTTTAGTTCATAAACTTATTATGTATCATGTTGGAAGAGTTTAAATTGTAATTAGGTCTAAGAGTTTTTTATTAGAATCTTAAAATTACGACAACGTTAAATTAATTTCTTTGGAATTGAATATGGTGGAAACATATTGTCAGTCTTATTGGAGGTCACTTGTGGTCTGTTTGTTAATCCTTTGGCCCAGTGTCATCTGATCGTGTCTCTGACTTCACCCCACACCTGAGTCCTAACATTGACACGCATGATGCAATACAGGATCGTATTGGGAAAGATATCAACATCTGATGGTCCAACAAATACTTATACCATTATTCGTGGCAGGTGGGTTGGTAAGTCGTCCTAATGAGTAATGATTGGGAAGAAGGAAAAGCTTTTGAATGTCCCCTTACTCGAAACACACACACCCGCACGAAAACACACGGAACTCCTTTTCCTTTTCATCTCTTTAATAGATCATGTAGGACATTCATTTTTGTTAGATTGCACTCCTGTCCATGACTTGCACTTCTGTAGATGACAATGTGTTCCCATACGCGACCTTTACTTTTAGCCACCTATATTTTGGAAAACACTTGTTTTTTAATTTATTATTGCCTTTTAATTAATCTTTTGATTAAGTGCATTCTTGTTTGACGAGTTGTCAAATTGTTGTTGTTGTTCACATTATTATTATTTCTATGACAACGACTACTACTAGTACTATTATTTTTGGTGATCAGCATTCTGCTGAATGAGAAATTTTTTTTTCCATTTATTAGCTGACCTGGTACCTTTCTGTTCATACCAGGTTTTTATCTGCTATCTAAATAAAGTAGTTGTTAGCAGGCAGGAATTGGGGTCAAATATTAGTGCTTATGTTTCAATACTTCTTTGTCATCGCTTCATGTGTGGGCCTAAACAATTTTAGAGAGTCAGTAATCCAAACGAATGCGCAAATATGGACCCAAATTTCAGAAAGATAACAGAGTGGGGGTATAAATTCAGGTAAACTAAGGCCCACTCATGAGATTGAATTAGGGAGCGCACTTACAAGGGTCCAAACTTGAGACCACCTACAATGATATCATGTTAGTTTACCTATTCTTAGTAGTCATATATGAGTTGGAATATTTGCATCCTTTTAGCATCTATTTCATTTGGTTCAGGATGTTATCTAGAATGAAGGTCAGTATGTTTCTTTTGAAATGTTATTTCAGAGAACAATACTGGAGTTTTGAGTGAAAGAGCCGCATGCATATACGTGTATATATGTGACTTATGGGTAGTCTCCAATTATGAGAATTAATTCTGAAGTTTTAGCTTGTCTCATAGCTGGCTGAACTGTAACTGGTGTATTTAATACTTCATATGTAATATATGTCTCTCAACATTATTAAGATAGTTTGGTTTTGAATGTCGTATGTAGTTCTTTCAGCTTCTTCTATAGTACTTCTTGAGAACTTTGTCCTCAAACCGTTACTTTTGTTTTCATGTTTCTTCATTAATAAAATTTTGTTTATTATTAAAGAAAACATTATTAAGATAGCGTGGAGCTGTGTTGGAACTATTGGACACCTGTTTTGGCTGTGATGCATCGTGCTGTCTATGTTTCGTTTCTACTTTTAGTTAGAAGCTTGATGCTTTTGTTATAGCGGCAAAGAGAGCAACTGTTCAATTTTTAGGAACAAGAATATTTATTTGATTTATAGGTCTGTTCTTTTCTTGGTTCATAAAACATGGATTCTTTTGGTGAGTGAATACTACATCAATAGTCTGCTCATGAGTTTAATTTATGCATATGTGAAATTTTTAATAGTTTCTGACAGAACAGTGACATCTTTCAGGGCTTTGTCAAAGGGCCAACGGGGTGAGGTATATGAGGTGAATGGAGATCGAGCTGCTGTTATTTTGGATATTGGTGAAGTCAAAGTAAATGATGTTAGTAAGGAGGACAAAGAACCGGAGCAACCTGAAAAGCCACCTGTTTATTGGATAGATGGTAACATTTCTTTTCCTAAAGAAGTTGCATTGGCAAGTTTTGACTTCGTGTCCTCTAGAAATAGTTTACTTTAGTTTATACAGTATTGTTTTCTATTCTTAGTTTTCTTTCATTCACGGGGTTGCTATGACAATATGATTGATTTACAAGGCGTGATTATGATAGGATGTCAGATTCCTTGATTTCTGTGTATAGTTTTGCAGACGTCTCTCTCTCTCTCTCTCTCTCTCTCTCTCTCTCTCGGAGGGGTTTGACAAACTTTCCTTGACATACGAAAGTTATGAGTCTTATGACTATTTGGCTGTAGGAACGTGTAGGTTCCTTTGTTTGGCATTGTTTGTTTGATTTGATTTCTCTGTTGTTCTTGAGCCATTCTTTTGTCTGTCTTTGATCTTTGAGGGTCTTTTCCTTGCCTTTCCAAACTTCCTTTATCTTTGCTGATTTGCTTTGCTTTGGATTTAACAAAATAATGTTAGAAAAATAAGAAAAGCTTCATTTACTGGAGGAAGGATGCCTCTCTCTCTCTCTCTCTTCAATATCTCTGCCGTCTTTAATATGAAGTCATATGTTCCCGTGCTAGTTATTCTTGAAGAACCTATAAAGGAAAATTGTAGAGTTCAAAAATATTTTCTTTGATCATACATTTTATTTTAGTTCAGGCTCAGCATTAGGAGCAGCGACTTGCTCTTTGTTCATTGGATCATAATCTGACGAGTTTTCTGGCTATACAGTTAAGGACATTGAGCATGATCAAGACACCCAGGCTGAAGATTGCTTTATAGCAATGGAGGCTCTGGCAGAGGTATACCCGCGGATACTTTGATACGTAATAATAAACAAAGAAGGGATATATATAATATATGTACGGACACACACCCACATATGTATGTATATGCATAAATTCTGCTCCACTATACTCATGCTTGAGGTTATGCTGGACCTTATTAGGTCTGTGGTCTGAAAATGAACTCTTAGATATTAATTTAAGTAATGAAGAAAAGAAAAATATTACAAAAGTTACACGCAACAAATTTATTCCCAAGCAAATAATAAAAAAAAGGGGAATAAGTTCTCCTTCTATAGGAGATACAAGCAACAAATTTTTTCCTTGGAACAATAAAAAGTAGCCTAATCCCTTTTCTGTACCATAAACTCCTCATCAGAAGATATTGTTAAAGAAGCCCAATATTTCTATTGAAAAGCATGTTATGTAGTTTTCAGGTTTCAAAACTATGAAAAAAAGGTTTTTCGTTTTGTGAGTAAGGCCAAATCTGTGGATAATGTATATAATCTAGAGGGGATAACGAGTAAATCAAATTATTACTTCGTAAATTATAATTTCTCACGAAAAAAATGATAGAAGAAAATAAAATCAGAATTTTCTTTCCCTCGAACAAAAAAAAAAAAGTTGAATCTTCTTTTACAAAGTATATACATATACTTCTTTTCATTATATTTTGTCCTCTCAAGAAACGAAGAAATCTGAGATAATTTTGGTAGTGGGAATAGAGGATTGGTTAAAGCAACATTTACAACTTATAAAGAAAAAAGAGAAAACGTATTCTGAATTCACATTCACTCTTACGTTTTTGGAAAATTTGGTATCTGGAAATGAACCAAAAAAAAAAAAAAAAGCCTCAAGGAAGGTTTTGAATAGGCTTGAAAACAAAGGTTGAGTTCAGGAATATTGAGAACAGATCTTTAATAAATGAATTTGGTTTTGCTTGCAGGTATTGCATGAAATGGAACCTCTTATTGTGTATTTTCCAGACTCTTCTCAATGGTTGTCTAGGGCAGTTCCAAAGTCGAAACGTAAGGAGTTTATCCAGATAGTTCAAGACATTTTTAATCATTTATCAGGTCCTACTGTTCTGATTTGTGGGCAGAACAAAGTTGAATCTGGATCAAAGGAAAAAGAGAAATTTGTAAGTCTATACAATTTAGTTTCCACTCTATAGCTTTACAAGAGTGTTTACTCCATTTCCCTTGTTCATCTAGCAACCTGCAAATAAGGCTGACATTTTTTCCTCACAAATGCTTGTTTGACAGACAATGATACTTCCAAATTTCGGTCGTCTTGCTAAGCTGGTAAGGCTTTTTCTTGATACAGTAACGTGAAGAAGGCAGTTAAAATTAAGAACTTATACTAGACGCGGATTTAGTATTGGTAGTTTTTAGGAACTTAATTTTTGTAAATAAGGTATAACTGTTAGAGACCTTTTTTTTTTTTTTTTTTTCCCTTTTTTGTTTTCCATATTACATAAGCTTATTTTCTTTTTACATGTTTTTCTTAATGCTCTTTCTGTTAATTAATGTGCAGTCCGTCTTTTATTTAAAAATATATGTACGTCGGATCTGCATACCTAATTTATCAATAATAGAAATACGAAGAAAAAAGGCAGCCAGTTTGTGTTATTTTGATTAAACATGCAACTGTATCTGAGTTTGGGGTTGGGTTGGGGGGGGGGGGGGGCGGGGGGGTTTGGGATCACATTATTTTAGCTCCGCTTGCCTGTTTTTCCTCAAATTTCTGTGTCTTTGTAATTTCATTTTTAAATAAAGCTATTAGTTGTTTCAATCATTTCTTTGTTGGATCTCGGTTTTTCCTCAGATTAGCATGTTGTTTCCTCATCATTTGGCTGAGTTGAATTGATTGCCTTTATTTTTTATCTTTTTTTCAGCCTCTGTCTTTGAAGCGTCTTACCGAGGGACTCAAAGGAACTAAGAGATCAGATGACAGTGAAATATTTAAGCTGTTCACAAATGTTTTGACTTTGTATCCTCCGAAGGTAAATGTTAGCTCTTTAGTGTGATTTGTTTCCTTTATAAGAATGTCCTTTTGTGAATTCATTCATTACATCTCTGGTTAGTCTTTTAGTAGTGTTCATTACTACGTTCAGTTGCAGTTTTTGGTCCTTTACTCCTTTTTAATAATGCTATAACTTCTTCATTTATTGACAGAAACTGCCACCATATTTTGTTGCTATCCTGTAGAGTGATTTAATTACCTTGTATCTTGTTGTTATCTTCTTGTAATTAAATGAATTGTTCATAAAGGCTCATCTTTCGAATACCAGACTCTTTCTGTTGTTTGGTTATCATGTTAGTGTGTTTGTCTTCCATTTCTAACCTTTCCTGCAAGTTTTGAATTTTGTTTCTGTCATCTAACTCTAAATTTTTCTGTAACTGGGAGAAAGAAATTTCGTTAATTTGATGATGATTTAATTTGTAATTTTAATCGTAAATGTTTCATGCTTTTTTTTTTTTGATAATGTGTTTCATGCTTGTTTAGCTTTTGCTTTTTGCAGGAGGATGATCTCCTTCGAACATTCCATAAACAGGTGGAGGAAGACAGGAGAATTATCATATCACGGAGCAATTTGCATGAATTACATAAGGTATATGATCTAGTTTCAAAATGGCCCACCTTAACAGAACGCGTGATTTGACTTGATTCATGTGAAGGACTTCAAGATAAAAGCTTTTTTATTCAATAACCAGGGTTATCTTGGAATGAAACATGTTTGAATCATCACCAGTTCATGTTCATTTGTATTGCAGGTTCTCGAGGAACACGGGCTGTCATGCATGGACTTACTGCACATAAATGCGGATGGCGTGATCTTAACAAAGCAGAGTAAGTACTACATTTTCTTATCAATAAAAAAAAAAAAACAGTATCCCACCAAAGTTTGGAAGAAATGAAAACGAAGGATAGATAATGGAGAATAAATGATGCTGGGCTGTTGTGTGATCGCGTCTACATCTAGTTTAGTATGATCTTTTTTAGTATTATGATATGGTCTGCATTTCAAGTCTTAAGTAGTGAAAAGGTCAGTTTAAGGGGTTTTACAAATGGTCAGCAAATTAGTCCTTTGATCTTAAGTCTTTTGTTTTCTTGGATTTTATCATTTTCTGAGGAATATTTGTGCTCTTTTCCGAGTTTTAATTGGTTCATATAGTTCTCTTCTTTCTCTCTTTTTTTTTTTTTTCCCTCTTTCTAGGATCCTATCCCACTTGTGATCAGGCTATATATAAGTTTGTGCTGATATTACAATATAATTAGATAGATATTTTCTGTTCCTATTTTGGGTATCTTATTATTATCATTATTCTCTTGTATTTCTTCAGAAGCTGAGAAAGTTGTTGGATGGGCAAAAAATAACTACCTTTCATCTTGCACCCTTCCTTCTGTAAAAGGGGAAAGATTAAATCTACCTCGTGAAAGGTACGTATACAGTCACCTACACTTTTATTTTTTAGTGTTGTATGCTAGGCCTCACATCATGTTGAGGTTGGAGATCTTCTAATACTTTTTTATTCTGTAAAAGCCTTGAAATTGCGATTCTGAGGTTGAAGGAGCAAGAAGCTATAGCTCGGAAGCCATCGCAGAGTTTGAAGGCATGTTTCTTTTTCTCCTCATTTTTTTTTGTTGCTATTAATTAAATGTTCAAGCAAACAATAACAAAAAAAAAAACTTCTTTGTACTTAATTACCACAGAACCTTGCAAAAGATGAGTACGAGACCAACTTTGTTTCAGCAGTTGTGCCTCCTGGTGAAATTGGCGTTAAGTTTGATGATATAGGTGCTCTTGAAAATGTGAAGAAAGCATTACAAGAACTTGTGATTCTTCCAATGAGGAGACCAGAGTTGTTTTCTCATGGAAACTTGTTGCGGGTACCATATGTTTTGGTTTATATAAGATGGAGTTTCTTCTTTGCCTTTCCTGTTACTAATATGTGAAGCTTTAATCAGCCTTGCAAAGGAATATTACTTTTTGGGCCTCCTGGAACTGGAAAAACACTTCTTGCTAAGGCGCTTGCAACTGAAGCTGGAGCGAACTTTATCAGCATAACTGGTTCGACACTTACATCAAAGGTGGGCATTCAAGGGTTATCTTAGATTGTGCGTGTTATATTCTGAGGGAACGCAGAGCAGACTGCTCCATGTTCCAGGGTTATATTACACACACTAGCATAAATGGCGATCTTGAATCCTAATTAGTTGTAGTTTAATATATCTTTTCATGTCCCAGAAAGGAAAAAGAAAAAAAAAAAAAAAAAAACAAACTTCCTTCCATTGATAGAAAAGTACAAAGGAAAGAGGATGTAAATCCTCTAAAAACAGGAAACTAAGAAAAGAAAAAGCAGGATTGAGCTATTGTATGTTTTGTGAATTGTGATGAGATAAGTATGTATTGACTGTTCATGGCATGTTTATGAAGTTTCTTTATTTTCATTCTTAATTTTAATTTTAATTTTATTTTTTTATTTGGGGCTAACACCTCGATCCCCCTCAAGGTTTATGCCTCACCTTGATTTGACAAAACCTGTGGGTTCCTGATCACATCATCATTGTAGTGCACTTGGTTCCTGTCCTATTAGGTTTGACAAGTCAAAGTTTTCCATTTCTAGAGTGTTGTATGTTTCCCTTCATAAAATTCTGTCTTATTCAAATTTTGTTTCCTGCTTATTCATGTTTCACTGAAAATGCATAATTGTCTGGACTTTGTGCATTTAAATATCTTTATCCCTTTTCGGGTTAAAATGTTATTGTCCATTATAATTTGAAAAAAAAAAACCAAACTATAATCGAAAGAGGACTTCGTATATTCAAAAAAAAAAAAAAAAAAAAAAAAAGAGAGAGAGAACTTAGTTGAATTTAAGAAAACGAGAAGCAACTTCATGTTAAAAGTAATACACATGTTAGCGATTTCTGATATATATTCTTTTATTGACAGTGGTTCGGTGATGCTGAAAAGCTTACCAAAGCTCTCTTCTCCTTTGCCAGCAAGCTTGCACCGGTCATTATATTTGTTGACGAGGTAAGTTATTTACCTAGTTAGTATTTAATTTGAGTTGATTATGCTCTTGTGGTAATGGCACAGTTTTTTTCTTTATTTGAAAAAAAATATATAAATAAATAAATGATATCCAAACTTGAGATCTTCCCACAGTTTTTCTAACATAAATATTGGATTTTTGTTTAGATTGACAGTTTGCTTGGGGCTCGTGGTGGTGCTTTTGAGCATGAGGCAACTAGAAGAATGAGGAATGAATTCATGGCAGCTTGGGATGGATTGAGATCAAAAGATAGCCAAAGAATCCTCATCCTTGGCGCAACAAATCGGCCCTTTGACCTTGATGATGCTGTGATTCGTCGCTTACCAAGGAGGTCTGATTGTTTTGATGATTGTCTACTCTGTAGAATTGATGTATCTCGTCGTTTTATCATGTGTTCTGATCACCTGTAGACATATTTTGTCTGCTTTATATGTAGAAGCACTAGCCCAGATAATAAGAGGCATAAGTGTCTGGTTTATGAATAGCACAAAATCAAACATTTTAAATTTTTTGTTTGTTGTTGCAGAATATATGTAGACTTACCAGATGCTGAAAACCGTCTAAAGATTTTGAGAATATTTCTTGCACAAGAGAATTTAGGTCCTGATTTTGAGTTTGAGAAGTTAGCTTCTGGGACAGAAGGATACTCTGGTAGTGATTTGAAGGTAATGGGCTAATACCATATGTCTCTAATGTGATTGTTTTGTATCTTAAACTTTTGTTTATTCATTTATTTATGTTTTGCCAGAACCTCTGTATTGCTGCTGCATATAGACCTGTCCAAGAGCTTTTAGAGAAAGAAAAGAAGGTAAATGCCTCCTGTCTTTGCTTTGTAAAATTGCCTGAGCAGGGACATTTTATAAAAGTAGTATTTATCTTAGCTTTACAGTAACACATTGTTCTTTTCGTTGGTTTTTCAACTTTTCCTTGCCAATTGATGATAATTTAACTGAGATGTGCTAATGGTTGTTATACGGTATACGTCTTTTACAGGAAAGCACAAATGGTGTACCACAAGTTTTAAGACGACTCAATCTGGATGATTTTATTCAGTCAAAAGCCCAGGTAGAGATCATGTTTATCTACTTTGAATATTTGTTTCTTTTTCGTAACACGGCAGAAAGACACACAGATGGAAAAGGATACAACGTTTCTGAAAATCCGTTGATCCAGTTAGAATATTGAACAATATGGTATCTACTAATTAGTTGATTCGTTCAAAAAATTATTTCAATATATTGAAATCACAGCTGCAAGAAAGGGGGAGAAAAAAAGCAATACTTGTTGATTCTAGAATACTGAGAATTGCACTTCAAAAGTTTAGAGTAAAAACTGTGAATGATAATTTAAACTTAGTCAAACTCTTAATATAAACTTATCAAATCTGATTAACAAACAATAATCCTAATAATAATTCTTAAAATATGATCACAATTCACAAAATTTTCAATAATCCACTGCATCACCTTTTCTTTTGTATATTTGCTTCTTGCATATCTGTGGGGACAACGCCTTCAACTTTCCAATTTTGCACTCTTATATGGTTCTCTGTCTCATGTTTTGTGTATTTTTTATTTGAAAAAAAATAGTTCTGTCTTAAAAAAAAAAAATCGTTCCATCTCACTGAGATTACTGTTCCTAAAACCTCTATGTTAACATTCTTCTAGGACGCACAAGTGGATCTCTCATAGTTATTAGAATAACTTCTATACCTTCTAGAATTATGAGGCCAGTGAAATGAGGTGGCAGGAAAGGTTCCCTATATTTGCTAGAAATTTGACACAGATCTCTAAGAGAAATAGGATGGGAGTTTAGCGGGTGACAACATAATTGAAATATGTAAAAAGTTGTAAGTGGCAAAAAAATTTCTCAAAATAAAAAAAAAATAAAAAAAAAAACAGAAGAAGAAGAAGAAGAAGATAACAACTACAAAAGAAATTTCTTTAGGGTTTCTTCTTTTGGTCAGATTATTACTGTTACCGTTTGGAAGTTGGAGGTTGACAATTATTGGTGCTACAGTATTGGGAGAAAAAAAAAAGAAGAGAAAATATCCAGAACCATATTTGTTGCAGTTTTTGAGCTTTTTTTTAGTATGTAGTAAGCTATTTTAGTTATCTTGTTCTGTGAAGATAGTAAAAATAAAAATAAAATCCTGACTTATTTATGCTGTTGATTTTATTAGTTGGAATATCAGATTAATAATATAAAAGAGCGATCCAGATCTCATTTATTACTAGCAGCCTCTGTTTTATCATGCATAGGAGACATAGAAAGGCACAAAAGGGTTTTTTTTTTTTTTTCACAATTTGTTTGAGTTATAGACATGACTCTTTTTTTTTTTTTTTTTTTTTTTTAAGTCACAACCGTAGTAAGGACAAAATTCGATGTCAAATTTCTTGTACAATGTAAATGGCATGAGATTCAATTCTAGTTGAATCGACATCTCTTTAACGAATGCCTCGGTGATCTTCAACATTTGTTTAAGTTTTGAGTTTGAAAATGCTACAAAGTCTGATCAATTTCCACTATCATTTTTGTCACTGATCTTAAGTTGACTCTTAGATCTTAATATCATCTTCAAATCTCTGTTCTGATTCTGACAACCTGTCCCTTAAAAGGGTTCAGGTACTTCTTAAGAACATGTTTAGACAGATGCCTCAGGAAGTCTATAATTTACCATCAAGTTTGTTTCTTTTTATCCATTTCAAGTCTCCGAATAAATAAATAAATGAATGATGAAAAATAAAAATAATCCTTTTGGTTCTTAACCAAATGAGACATTGATTGCCATATTGTTGCTGTATGGTAGTACGGAACATGCATTTTGTTACGTTGTAGCGTGTGATTAGATAAGCTTGAATTATACAAAATTACAAATGTGTGATTTTTACTTGTAGGTTGGACCGTCAGTTGCTTACGACGCCACGACCATGAACGAGCTTAGGAAATGGAACGAACAATATGGCGAAGGGGGAAGCAGGAAAAAGTCACCATTTGGCTTTGGGGACTGATTTTATTTGGCTGTTACAGTACGTATTCTTTGAAGGGATAAAGAGGGGGAGATGAAGGAAAGAAGAGGCCCAAAATGAGTTGTTGGGATGATTCTTGACGATGAAATATTTTCTTCTGCACCCTTTTAGTTGAGGTGGACAAAAAAAAGGCCGCCTTAGAAAATGCCTCGTAGTTTAGGTGCTTTATAGAGATTTTTTCTTCGTTGCCAGTCTCTCGACTGTTGTATATTACAATCTCACTTTTTTTTTTTTATCTAATTATTTCCTAATTTATCAATTTTGAGAATTGATTTCTCTTTGTTTTCTCAAATTAATAAAAGTTATGACTTTTAATGTTGTGCAGAGTCCATAAATTAAGCTTGAAGTCTCTTCAATTCTATTTATGAAAACAAAATTATGACTACTCCAGTGATATTGTATTAGGGTTATTTGAATTTACTTATCTCTGGGTGAGGCCATGTAGTATGCTTGCAATTGGTTATGCTTTTTGACACGCTTCGTTAATTGTCGCTATGGCTTCTTACATGATGATTGACTGTCATAGGTTTTATAACATGTTATATGAGAGAAAACAATGCCTCGCATAATAATATGTTCATGTATAGTATTTGGGATTTTCTAAACTGAAAGCGTTTAGTTAATCTCAAAATTGTGATAAGAGCCTAACCGAACATTTGACCTTAATATATATGTATATATTTATATATTCTTAAAGAAAATATCTACGGTCTCCATTGTTAATTTAAGGGTAATTGACACAATAATTCTTAATTTCTTGAATAAGTAACGATATTTTTATTTTATTTTGATAAAACGATCTTCAACTTCTTTAAATTGATGTAATTAAGATCTTTTCGTTAAATTCTATTAATTTTTTAACGGGTTTTACCCCGCGCAGTGCATGAGACCTTATTAAAAAGGGTATTTTAATAAACTTCATAAAATACTTTCTTAACAAAACTTAAAATATAATAAAATAAAACAGGGGGAAAAAAAAAACCACTATCCATTGTCGGTCTTCAATAGGAAGGGGATTTGGATTCTAGTGAAAATGAACAAATCCCTAATCCGTTCCTAAGTCCTCTCTTCAATGCAACAAAATACTGAAAAAGAAAACCCTCAAAAAAGCAAATGGGAGAGGTAGGGGTGGGTGTGGGTGTGGGATCGCTCGCAGTGGGGAGGGTGTAGCGGAGGCAAATCGCGCCGACACAAGGTTCGGATCTGGGCTGGGTGCGACGGCCGAGCTGGCGACGACGACGGGGACGGGTAGTCAACTGGGCTCATGACGGCAGAGGGCGATTTGTGACGGGGAGGGCTTGCGACGCCAAGGAACGGGGCAGAGGAATCTGAGTTTGTGTGGCTGAGGGATACAACTATTCACTTTGGTTTTTGCCCGTGTTCATATTCCATCTGGGTATGTATACGTCTATTCATTTTGGTTTTTGCCCATGTTCATATTCCATCTGTCCGCTTTTTTTTTCTTTTTTTTTTGTTTTAATTTTTGGGAACTATTTGTTGATGTTCTGGCTTAGTGTTCGGTCAGTTTGATTTCGAAGTGGGTGGGGGGGTTATCGGAGGTGTTGGTGGTGATGGTGGGAATTTGAATTTTATTGGTTTGATCTCTATTTAGAAAGATGGTAGTAATCATTTGAGTTTTCTGTGGGCAAGATTCAATTTAGAAAAACCTTCGCCGTCGCCAATGGAAGCAAAGTCCGGAGTCAGGAGAATACCATTCATTCACTTCAGACATCCAATTTCCCGCTCTCCAAAACCCCTTTCTCTCTGAAACCCTAATTCATTCCTTGAAGATTCACCGAATAAAGGGAGATTAATTCATGGGTTAAACCAATTTAAGTAGGGCCGTTGGATTTGGTCGGTACGGGATAGGATTTTTTTTTCTCCGTCCCAAAAAGTGCAGATTGCACATATTTAGTCTCAACGTTGTTAGAAAAATTTCATAACCCAATGATGTTTGGGTTGGGTTAGGTGGTTAGTTTCAATATTTAAAGAGTCGAGTTCAAAATTCAATCCAACTTTCAAAGTTCATTATCAACATCAAATAGAAATAATAATTCTAACATTCAAACAGATAGAAATTTAAAGTTTAATCCAACATCAAATATAAAATAAAGTAGTCCATTCAACATCAAACATAAAGCAAACATAAATTAGTCTACATTATCTTAACATAAAGCAAACATAAAAGCTTAATTCAAACATGAAGAAACTATAGAGTAGAAATGAGTTACTTGCGTAGAGTTAGATATTAGAGGATGCAAGTTAGAGTACGAGTTAGGTTGGGGTGTGCGGGCTATTATAGGTTCAATTCACACTCCCCTCTAAAACTTCGGGCCAGACATTGAATGGGCCGAAAAAAAATGTAATACTAGAAATTGCATATATTGGGCTGGGCTGGGCTGGGTTGGGTTGGGGTGGGTTGGGCCTGCAGGTTTTGTAGATTTATGAACAACCCTAAATTTAAGGGCAATTTCATCTTTTCAATCTAAAAAGGGGTCACATGAGGCGTCAAGTGGCTTCTATGGTTATTATTTAGACTGATCTTAACAGAAAGGTCTTAATTGCACCAATTTAAAGAAGTTGTGAGTCATTTTTTCAAAATTAACAAAATAAAGACTAGACTGTCACCTACTCAAGCATTCAAGGACCATCTTTGCCCATTACTCTTAATTTAATAACATGTGAGATAGTGATATATCGCCTTAAAGCATGCTTCCTAAGAGGACATTCACCTAGAACTGAGTTGAATTTCCAAGGATAGTCTTCTGTTGGTAATCATTAGGTGAACGTTGTTTCACAGATTTAGAATCATTCTCGATTTACGTGTTTTTTTGAAAAAAAAATACTGTAGCTAGCTACGAACCATGATTCGAATCATAACACGAATTTTCATACCAAACACTCTCGACCTACCTATGAAAACCTTGTACAATAAAACCTCTATAAAATAATATTGTCAGGATTAGAAGAAAACATTATTTTAAGGAGGTTATTAATTTATCAATAAACGATATTTTATTCATGGGTTAAACCAATTTAAGTAGGGCCGTTGGATTTGGTCGGTACGGGATAGGATTTTTTTTTCTCCGTCCCAAAAAGTGCAGATTACACATATTTAATCTCAACGTTGTTAGAAAAATTTCATAACCCAATGATGTTTGGGTTAGGTTAGGTGGTTAGTTTCAATATTTAAAGAGTAAGGTTCAAAATTCAATCCAACTTTCAAAGTTCATTATCAACATCAAATAGAAATAATAATTCTAACATTCAAACAGATAGAAATTTAAAGTTTAATCCAACATCAAATATAAAATAAAGTAGTCCATTCAACATCAAACATAAAGCAAACATAAATTAGTCTACATTATCTTAACATAAAGTAAACATAGAAGCTTAATTCAAACACGAAGAAATTATATAGTAGAAATGAGTTACCTGCGTAGGGTTAGATATTAGAGGATGCAAGTTAGAGCGCGGGTTAGGTTGGGGTGTGCGGGCTATTATAGGTTCAATTCACACCCCCCTCTAAAACTTCGGGCCAGACATTGAATGTGCCGAAAAAAAATGTAATACTAGAAATTGCATATATTGGGCTGGGTTGGGTTGGGGTGGGTTGGGCCTACAGGTTTTGTAGATTTATGAACAACCCTAAATTTAAGGGCAATTTCATCTTTTCAACCTAAAAAGGGGTCACATGAGGCGTCAAGTGGCTTCTCTGGTTATTATTTAGACTGATCTTAACAGAAAGGTCTTAATTGCACCAATTTAAAGAAGTTGTTGAGTCATTTTTTCAAAATTAACAAAATAAAGACTAGACTGTCACCTACTCAAGCATTCAAGGACCATCTTTGCCCATTACTCTTAATTTAATAACATGTGAGATAGTGATATCTCGCCTTAAAGCATGCTTCCTAAGAGGACATTCACCTAGAACCGAGTTGAATTTCCAAGGATAGTCTTCTGTTGGTAATCATTAGGTGAACGTTGTTTCACAGATTTAGAATCATTCTCGATTTACGTATTTTTTTGGAAAAAAAAACACTGTAGCTAGTTACAAACCATGATTTGAATCATAACACGAATTTTCATACCAAACACTCTCAACCTACCTATGAAAACCTTGTACAATAAAACCTCTATAAAATAATATTGTCAGGATTAGAAGAAAATATTATTTTAAGGAGGTTATTAATTTATCAATAAATGAATATTTTATTAATTTAAGAAAAGTTGTACGTTTTAATAACTCGTGCCATCTTGGTACATGTATTATTCTTTTGACTAAAAATTATGTTTGAGTCATAAATAAAATAAAAATAGTGAATGTAGTTAAAATTATTATGTTTACGTATAAAAAGTTATCATGTATATAAGTTATATACATACGTACATAGAAGCTCAAAAATTAATGTAAGGACATTGTACATAGAATGTTAAAAATTTCATACATAGACGTAAAATTAATGTCATAATTTTCAATAAGTTACCTAGAAGAAAAAAACTCCTTAATAAGATGATTTTATATTTTATTTATTATTTTTTTTT